CTACCATTTATCGGCAACATCTACTCCCTGGCGGCCGCGGCCGAGCTGCCCCATGTCTACATGAGACAGCAGAGCCAGGTGTACGGCGAGGTACAGCCCCGGCGGGCCGCGGGCAGGGAGGGCCGTCCCGTGCCCGGCTGTCCGGCCTTCCTCACCGTTGGCCTGCGGCCGTCCAGGCCCGAGGAGCCGGAACCTCTCTCGGTTCGCCCGCTGCCGGTGAGGGAATCCCGCTTCCAGGGTCGGGAAGGAAGACGTCCTCGACGCAGCGCCCCCTGCCGGGGCAGCCGGGTGGCAGCCGGCGCCCACTCCTGACAGACGCCCATTTGGCCGCCGCCGCGGGATTCTCTAGCCCCCAAGGGCGGGCGCGCCGCTCGCTCGAGTTCCGCGCCTGCGCCGTGTGGCCCGGGCCCACCTGGGCTTTGGAGGCGCACGCCGCGAGCCGCTCACTTCCCCAGCGTCGGCTTGTCGGGACTAGGAGGCGCTCTGAGTCCTAGACGGAGTGCACAGGAGGTTCCTCGGTGTTTGCATTTGAGGCATGACCGGACTAGGCGTTTGCTGGGAGCCCTGAAAGAGACGTGGGCCCCGGCAAATGATTGTGGAAGCGAGCGAGCGGGCCGGGCGTGCTACAGCAAAAGAGCAATACGGTCCTGATGATGTCGAGCGCATCTGATGCGCATTTAAAATTCACAGCCACCCAGCGGAGTAGGTGTTTCTGGTTTTCCCCGATTTTTCAGGGGAGAAAACTGCACCACAGAAATGTTGAGGGACTGGCAGAGAGCGACAGCTACTCACTGGCAGGGGAAAAGGCGAGAACACGCACTGCGTTCAGAAAGATGTACCCACCTCAGAAAGACGCCGAACGTTCCAGAGCGCTGGCTCTGGCTGAAGCTCATCTGTTTTGTTTTCAATGACATTAATTTACGTGTTACAACAAGCCAGGCTCTTACCTGGGGTGGAGGGGGAGAAGGCCCTGGAAAAGGCAGACAGCGCCATGTCAAGGAGTTAGTCTAGTGGGTAGAAAAAACACCTAAACTAGAAACTGGCCTCCCAAGTCCTATACCCTTTACATTATACCGTTTATTAGATTATGACTTTAGACACTGAATTGACATGCCTCATAAGGAAAGATACTTGAAACATTGTCAGTTGAGTAATATATGCATACATTTTCTGTTAAGTACCATATATTGGGTGAGCCGAGCTTAATATATACGAATTTCCAAGGTTTTACTTCTTCATAAATCATGCCATGTAAGTGGTTTTTTCCTTCTCTTCCCAGATCTTCAGCTTAGATCTTGGAGGCATATCAACTGTGGTTCTAAACGGCTATGATGTAGTAAAAGAATGCCTTGCTCATCAAAGTGAAATTTTTGCAGACAGGCCATGTCTTCCTTTATTCATGAAGATGACAAAAATGGGAGGTATGTTTATTTTCATTTGTTTAGTGATTTGCCAAACTATTTTCAATCACATTTTTTATTTTAAGTAAGTACATAGAGTTGGGATTAACAGGAAAGCACTTACTTACATAGCCTACTTGCATTACAGTCTTGTTTTAGACCAGTACATGCTAATTCTGTTGTAATTGGGTTCTAATAAATATTATAAATCATGATTTGAAGAATTAGCACTTAATACCTGTAGGTCTTGTTTCACAAGTTAGGTGTATACACACACACACACACGTGCACTTGAATCAGAAATGCCCCCTTAGAAGCCAGTCCTGAGTACTTGGTGACTTTTTTCCTGTCATTTTGCTTATAAGTTTACAGAACCTGAAACAGCCTTTCGTAACAGCTAATTACTATGATAGGTGAATGAAGAGTTGGGGTTTGTATAAAGGGTTAGCGTTCTGTGTGCTTTAGTGTTGGTCAGCGTTGGATGAGTCCATATTCAACAAGGAAGGGAGGCTTGACAAAATCAGTGAGGAGAGAATGGCACCAAAAAGCTTAAAATAGAATGTTGAAATCAGGTAGAACAGTTATATTGGGTTGCTGAAAAAGGCCTGATGTGTTTTTACATAGAAAAACATGAGAAAAATATGTCACGACTTTTCCAACCACCCGAGAGTAATAGTATAAGAATTTTTACAATAATGGTATCCTAAATTTTCTAATTTAATGAGAGCTTCACAATTTCAAGGAAAAAAAATTTTAACAGCATCCTACTTACATAGGCTAAAAATACTGACATTGATTGAAAGACTAAAAATCTGATATTGGTTGTAAAGTAAATCAACTAAGGCAAAGGAAACATGAATCGTAAAGACCAAGTTCTCAAGTGTTTGCCCTCCTTTTGACTTGAGCATTTCTGCTTCATTGACAATTCACTCAAGTTACCATTTCCTCTGACATAGAGACCTTGATGAATGTCATACTCCCTTTAACAGGAGGAAATCTGTATTCTAAAATTCAGTCTTTTTTAAGCAGACCATTTCTTTTTTTTTTTTTTTTTGGAGAGGTTTTCGCTATAGGGCACATGCGCTCGCCAGACAGAGAGAGACATAGAGACAGAAAGTGAGAAATCACCCCCAGGGGGGATGGCCACGCCACAGTCCCTTCTTCTCTATTCTCCTCTTGGGATCTTGGGCACACACACTCACGTGCCTGGCGTGAGTTTTAAGCCAATGGGTCCGGGACGCAAACCGTGGTCGACTATGTGGGAGTCCAGCGACATAGCCATTACGCTAACTGCTGGCCCCAAGCAGACCATTTCTAATCCTAGAAGAATGATTTTGCGGTATTTGTTTGGTTCAAGATAAAAAATTTCCCATAGATGGGACCAGCAGTTAGCGTAAAGGCTATGTTGCTGGACTCCCACGTAGTCAACCGTGGTTCCAGTCCTGGACCCGGTGACTTAAAACTCATGCTGGGCACGTGTGCATGTGTGCCCAAGATCCTGAGAGAAGAATGGAGGAGAAGAGATTGTGGTGTGGCCATCCCCCTGGGGGGTGATTTCTCACTTTCTATCTGTCTGGCAAGCACACACGCCCTATAACAAAAACTTCTCAAAAAAAAAAAATTCCCATAGAACATGCAGTCATATTTGTCTTTTATAAATTAGACTTATAGTAAAAGTTGAATAATAAAGTCTCCTGGGCCTATTTCACCCAGGCTGAATTATTCAATTCTGGCTGGTTTCTTGTGGTAGAAGGATTTTAAGTCTTTTCTGCCAATCCCCAATGAGGGTAGACCAGTTTTATCTGTTAAAACGTTTTGTGGCTAATACATAGCAGTGAACAGGACCCAATTATCTAGTTATATAGAAAGAAGGCTTAGTGAAGAGTGACTTTTTCTTTTTCTTTTCTCTCCATAGCGGTTAACTTTCAGCGGTTAATTACAGGAAATTAGGAATTATGCAATATTTTTAATACTTTTTTTTTTTCTCAGGCTTACTCAATTCCAGATATGGCCGAGGATGGGTTGATCACAGAAAATTAGCTGTCAACAGCTTCCGCTATTTTGGATATGGCCAAAAGTCTTTTGAATCTAAAATCTTAGAAGAAACCAAATTTTTCATAGATGCTGTTGAAACTTACAAAGGTAGACCTTTTGACTTTAAACAACTAATAACGAATGCTGTTTCAAACATAACCAATATGATCATTTTTGGAGAACGGTTCACTTACGAAGACACTGATTTTCAGCACATGATTGAGTTATTTAGTGAGAATGTGGAACTGGCTGCCAGTGCCTCGGTTTTCCTGTATAACGCCTTTCCATGGATTGGCATCTTACCTTTTGGAAAACATCAACAGCTCTTCAGAAATGCAGCTGTGGTCTATGATTTTCTCTCCAGACTTATCAAAAAAGCTTCCGTTAACAGAAAACCTCAGTTACCTCAGCATTTTGTTGATGCTTATTTAGACGAGATGGATCAAAGTAAAAATGACCCATCATCTACTTTCTCTGAAGAAAACCTGATTTTCTCAGTGGGTGAGCTCATCATTGCCGGAACGGAAACTACAACCAATGTGCTACGGTGGGCAATTCTTCTCATGGCACTCTATCCGAACATTCAAGGTGAGAATTCTCTTGATCCTAGGGCGTGTCCTTACATGTTAGGACTCATGCATGTTTTAGAATCTTTGGCTATGTACACAGCATTTTCTTTAGGAATTACTGCTGTGCTAGCCAATAGGAGAAATATTTCTTAATTTTAAAAATGTTCAAATCTATTTCAGTTTTCATTAAAAAGAAAACAAAAAAACACCTCCAAAGTAGGTCTTCCTATGCCTGTTTTTATAAATGAAGGGAAAGTTTGAGCATCTGGAGTAGCAGGGCTGGGACCTGAACCCTGTTTTTTGTGTGTGTATGTTTTTTTTTAAGTTTTTTTTTGCGATAGGGCATGCATGCTTGGAGAGAAACAGAGAGAGACAGTGAGTGGGAAAGTGAGAAATCATCTCCCAGGGGTATGGACACCCCACAATTCCTTTTCCTCCATTCTCCTCTCAGGATTTTGGGCACATACACACACACACACACACACACACGTGCCTGGCATGAGTTTCAAACTGCTGGGTCTCAGATTCAAACCACAGTTAACCATGTGGAAGTCCAGTGCCTTTGCCACTATGCCACTTGGTGGCTCCTATTTCTATTACTTTTAACATTTTTTTTTTTTTTGCAACGGTATTATCCAGAGCATTGGCTGCTGTTAATATGGGGGTACTTCAAAAAGTTCATGAAAAAATGGAATTAAAATATACTCATACTTCTTTTTCACCTTTTCAAAAAAATAATTATTTAATTTAACTTTATTTGTTATTATTGTTTTTCAGTTTGATCAGAGCAAGAGAGAGGGAAAGTGAGAAAGCAAGCCACCAGGTCCAGCACTTGAACCATGGTTGGCCATGTAGGAGTCCAGTGCCTTACACCTGCTGGCCCCTATACTCATACTTTTTTTTATTGGTGCTAAAAAATCTTGAAATCCATGCCTAGATTTTACATAGCATGTATTTTCTATGAACTTTTTGAAGACCTTCTTATACAAGATACACAGCATATATTTAAATAGAATCATAAAAACATCTGAATCTCTGTACCTGTTATTATAGATTATTCTGTTGTATCCCAAAGGGAAATTACTTTAGATAAAATTCTGTAAATTGTATAATAACTAGAGTACTTTTTCTCTGACAGGACAAGTTCAGAAAGAGATTGATTTAATTACAGGCCCTGGTGGGAAGCCTTCTTGGGATGACAAATGCAAAATGCCTTATACTGAGGCAGTTTTGCATGAAGTTTTAAGATTCTGTAATATAGTTCCATTAGGGATTTTCCATGCAACCTCTGAAGATGCAGTCGTGCGTGGTTATTCCATTCCCAAAGGTACAACGGTCATTACAAATCTTTATTCTGTGCACTTTGATGAAAAGTACTGGAGAGACCCAGAAGTGTTCTATCCTGAACGATTTCTGGACAGCACTGGATGTTTTGCCAAAAAGGAAGCTTTGGTTCCTTTTTCCCTAGGTAAGAGACATTTTACAGAGGCCTAACTTTAGAATGAAGTATAATGATGATTAATCATGTAAAGCATCTTCATCAAAGCATTCTGCTATAGAATTAAATATTCCAACTTTAAAAACAGCATTGATTCTTTTATTTTTTTATTTTTATTTTTATTTTTTTTGGAGAGGTTTTTGCTATAGGGTGCGTGCGCTTGCCAGACAGACAGAGAGAGAGACAGAGAGATAGAAAGCGAGAAATCACCCCCCAGCAGGGATGACCACGCTGCAATCCCTTCTCCTCCATTCTCCTCTCAGGATCTTGAGCACGCACACACACGCGCCCGGTGTGAGTTTTAAGCCACCGGGTCCAGGACACGAACCGCGGTCGACTACATGGGAGTCCAGCAACATAGCCATTACGCTAACTGCTGGTCCCAAAACAGCATTGATTCTTAAGATGAGAGAGTGGTTTATGTAGAGAAAACTAAAACCATTGGTACTCAAAATTAAGCCTTCATTTATTAACTACAGATACTGTTGAGAAGCTCTGGTTTCTTTGGAAACTTTTGTTTGTGGACTTTTGATTTGTAACAAAACTTGTATTGGGTCATCAGAATAGTCATGACACATTCTTGGATTAAAAAAACGAAAACCAGAAAAATGCATCATGACTTTCTCAACGACTTAATAGAACTATAATTTACTAGCAGGTAGGTTGAGAAACTGAGTCCCAGAGATGGGAAAGACATGGTAACTTGAAGTAAAACCAGAATCTAGCTGTTTTGGCTTCTTGTTTATCTTATCTCATCTTCAGTTTGGAAAATATTGTTTCTGCTATGACAATGTATATAAATCATAAGACCCATAGAAGACAGACTAGAAACTCTTTTCGTTGGGAAAGAATGCACATAGTAAGTTGAAATGAAATGGGCCTCTCTTAGATTTATAAAACAAAATGTCACATAGTTGATCTTTCCTGGCATTTCTTTTTTTTTTTTTTATGGCATTTCTTAAGCTCTGGCGAACATGCAGAAGTGGGGGATGTGACTAAAATTTTCCTAAGAAAATTTCTATAAGATAGAGACCAGAGATTGGGTTCTGGGAGCTGAAATGCTGATTTCGATTCTTTAAGATTGAAGAGAACACTTTAAGAAACACAACTTCCTCTTTCTTTAAATTTCAGATTTCCTGAATAGCAGCCAAAAGTCAGACATTAATTTTGGTAAATATTGTATTTTTTTTTTTTTTTAAATTACTGTACCTGCCTTTTCTGTTAAGGGAGAAGACATTGTCTTGGAGAACAGGTGGCCCGAATGGAAATGTTCTTGTTTTTTACATCATTGCTTCAGAGGTTTCATTTGCATTTTCCACACGAACTAGTTCCAAGTCTGAAGCCTAGGCTAGGCATGACATTGCAGCCCCAGCCCTACCTCATCTGTGCTGAAAGACGCTGAGAGTGCATGGCTGTTTTGGAGGACAATGTTGTATGTTTGCCTCACTCTGGAATCTGCTTAATCTAATCACTGTGTGTATTTGAACAAAAGTCACAGAATCCATGTCAGATGGACACAGATGTTTCTTTAAAAATAATGTTTGACCAATAACAAGTATTAATTGTGATTTTATTTTTCCCAAGCTTCTATGACTTCTAAGAATTCTATGTTGAAGAACATAAAGGTGCAAATGACAAACAGGTGTTTAAAATGCTAAGAAGGGGGACCAGCAGGTGGTGTGGTGGTGAAGGCACTGGACTCCCACATGACAGGCTGCAGCTGAGTCCCAGACCTGACAGCTTGCTTTCCCACTTTCTCTCTCCCTCTTTCTCTCTCTGGTGAGCACATGTGCCCTGTAATAAAGTTTAAAATTAGGGACCAGCAGTTAGCATAATGGCTATGTCGCTGGACTCCCACGTAGTCGACCGCGGTTCATGTCCCGGACCCTGTGGCTTAAACTCATGCCGGGCGCGTGTGTGTGCGTGCCCAAGATCCCGAGAGGAGAATGGAGTAGAAGGGATTGTGGCGTGACCATCCCCCGTGGGGGGTGATTTCTCACTTTCTGTCTCTCTATCTCTCTCTGTCTGTCTGGCGAGCGCTTGCACCCTATAGCAAAAACCTCTCCAAAAAAAAAAAAAAAAGAAGAAGAAAAAGGAAAAAAAAATGATAAAATTAAATAATAATTTTTTTTAAGGGTGTTAGGAAGGCTCATGGATACCCAAAGCAGAGCCTCTTGTTTAGTACCAGCTACTTCTCATCTCTTCTTGGCTTCATCTGGCTCATTGTGGGGGGTTTTATTTCCAGATGTTAATGCCTGCTGATTAGGTATTATTATTTATAGGCTCTGTGGTACTAGCCCAGTTTTTTTCTTTTTTTTTTTTTTGGAAAGGTTTTTGCATAGGGCACGTGCGCTCATCAGAAAGACAGAGACAGAGAGACAGAAAGCAAGAAATCACCCCCCAAGGGCGACGGCCATGCTGCAGTCCCTTCTCCTCCATTCTCCTCTCAGGATCTTGGGCACACATGCACACGTACCCGGCATGAGTCTAAGCCACCAGGTCTGGGACTTGAACCGTGGTCGACTACATGGGAGTCCAGCGACATAGCCATTACACTTACTGCTGGTCCCCTAGCCCAGTTTTTTTTTTTTTTTTGAGAGATTTTCACTGTAGGGCGCGTGCGCTCGCCAGACAGACAGAGAGAGACATAGAGACAGAAAGCGAGAAATCACCCCCCAGGGGGGATGGTCACACCGCAATCCCTTCTCCTCCATTCTCCTCTCGGGATCTTGGGCACGCACGCACATGCGCCCAGCGTGAGTTTTAAGCCACCGGGTCCGGGACACGAACTGCGGTCGACTACGTGGGAGTCCCGCGACATAGCCATTACGCTAACTGCTGGTTCCCCCCTAGCCCAGTTTAATAGAGGACTAAAGGAGAAATCAGAACCCAAATAAATGAGTTTGGGTAGTCTTTTAGATTATGGTGGTACAGGATAGAACAAATACATATTTAATGTAGAATCTGCCAGTGCTTTCCAAAATTGGTCTGTGCTATGTCTTTATAAAAATGGTCATTCTTATGCATAAAGGTCCCTGTGATCCCTGAATACCTATCCCCATAGAGCAGTTTAGTAGGTAGGCAATTATAATTATATATTTAGAATGAAAATGACACATGTCTACTGATTCTTAGGAGGCCCAGACATTCCCCCTGGCAGCACTTTGCATATTTAAGAGTACAAAAGTGAAAGATGATAATAATAATGCCTAAAATTGAGTAGTAGAAATAGGGAGAAAAATTAGGTATAAGCTAATTGTTTTCATTATTATTAGAAGAAAAGCAAATACTATTTAAAAAAAAATAACAGGGTCCAAATTTATTATTTAAGAGTATAAAGATGTGACTGAATTAGGGACCAGCAGGTGGTGTGATGGTTAAGGCACTGGAATTCCCATATGGGCTACCATGGTTTGAGTCCTGGACCTGGCGACTTGCTTTCTAACTCTCCCTCCCTTTCTCTGGCAAAACTTGTGCGAAATAAATTAATTAATTAAATAATTCTTAAAAAAAAAAGATATGACTGAATTAAAGACACAAACCTTCGTAAATGTCAGGAGAACAGATTTTTTAGAAAAGAATAAATATGAATTCCCTACATACAGTCACATGAATAAATGTAAATGGGCTTATGTCACCTATGAAAGTTTATTTAACTGCAATTGAGGAGCTTTCACCTAACCTTCAATTGGAAGCAATTAGTCTGCAAAGTAATGACATGCTAAGAGAGAAATAACAAGAAGAGAATTTAATAAATTTTATATATGTCTTCCCAGTGATTAATATATTCAATTAAAATCAGATGCTTGTGGATTGATACCAGTATTTGGCAGTGCCATCTGTGTGAAAAGGTATTTTCAAAGATGAAATATGTAAATCTCATTATAAATCAGCATTAACAGATGAACATTTGCAATGTTTTAATAGCAGGAAATGCTAACTTTAAGCCCCAATTAAGCAAAATGTTATCTCCTAAAGAAGAATTCACTTTTTCTCATTAGTAGATTTATAGTACCAAAAAAGTATTTAACTATCATATTTTGAATATTGTCTAAAATTTTCTAGAAATTTTTCTTTCATTATATAGGTATTTGCATATTGTGCTTGGCCTGCAAAGCCTAAAATATTTATTCTTTGCCCCTTTACAAAATAAAATTTGGGGACCAGCAGTTAGCGTAATGGCTATGTTGCTGGACTCCCACGTAGTCGACTGCGGTTCGAGTCCCAGATCCGGTGGCTTAAACTCACACCCGGCGCCTGTGCATGCGTGCCCAAGATCCCAAGAGGAGAATGAAGGAGAAGGGATTGCGGCATGGCCATCCCCCATGGGGGGTGATTTCTCACTTTCTGTCTCTCTGTCTCTCTCTGTCTGGCAAGCGCACGTGCCCTATAGCAAAAAACTCTCCAAAAAAAATAAAAAATAAGATTTGCTAACTCTTGAATTAGACTACCTGATTAATTATAAAAAAGGGAAGAGAGCATAAATATTCAAAGTACAAAATGAGAAGAGAGAATAATCACAGAAACAGAATTTCAATAATCATAAGACCGATTTCTACTATTCAATGCAGAGAAATTTGAAGATGACTGAGACTTAAAAATAATTTTAGTGGGGCCAGCAAGTAGCATGGTAGTTAAGGCGTTGGACTTCCACATGGTTGACCTGGGTTTAAGCCCTGGACCCAGCAGCTTGAAAATCACACTGAACATTGTCTGCTCAAAATCCTGAGAGGAGAATGGAGAAGGGATTTTAACATGGTTAGCCTCTTTGGAGGGTGACTTCTAACTCTCCATCACTGTCTTGCTCCAGCGAGCACCCTATGGCAAAAACCTTATAAACAAAAATTGCCAAAGGGCTTATGTGCTTGCTGAAGAGAAATAAGGAATGTAAGATAATGCCCCTTATGGGGAATGGTCATGTTGTAATCTAGTCTCCACTTATCCTTTGGGATTTGGGGCACATGCGAACACATGCCCAGCTTGTGGTTCTCAATCTGCTATGTCCTGGACTCAGAACACAGTTGGTCACGTTCGGGAGTCAGCCAACTTAAACACTGTGCTACTTAGTCCTCCAAGCTCACTCTTAACATTTTCAGTTCCCAGCTTAAAAGTCACCTTCCTCTATCTTTGCTCCACCTCCCCCTTATATCCTACACAGCACCAGCAAAGTAAGTGATGAGGATAGCTGAAAACAGCTTTCCAATAGCTTGTTTGTTCTTTTCTTTTAATAAATTCCTGCTATAGGGCACCTATGCTCACTAGAGAGACAGAAAGTAAGAAATCACCCAACCACCACCAGAGGATGGCTACACCACAATTCCCTCTCCTCCATTCTCCTCTTGAGATTTTTGGCACATATGCATGTGCACCCAGTGTGAGCTTGAAGCCAGTGGGTCCAGGACTCAAATCACAGTTGACCATGTAACCTTTAACACTATGCCACTTGTTGGCCTCTCAGATAGCTTTAAAAAGTAGATTTGTGTGAAGGAAAAAAGTGTGTCAGTAAGAACACTGATAGGGGCCAGCTGGTGGCATGGTGTTTAAGGTGCTGATCTCACATGGCCAACTGCAGGTCAAGTCCCAGACCTGGTGGCTCGCTTTCTCATTTTCTTTTTCTCTATCTTTCTCCAGTACGCATGCAGGCCCTGTAAAAATTTTTAAAAAAATAATAATGGTAAATATAACTAAATAATTCTTTTTAAAAAAATTGATATATCAGGCCAGCAAGTGGCGTGGACATTAAGGCACTGGATCCTACATGGCCAGTTGTGTAGCTCAACTCCCAGACTGGGCAACCAAAAAAATCATGCCAGCACAGAACCAGCAGATGGCATAATTGTTATATCATTAGGCTCCCACATGACCAACCACGATTTGAGTCCTGGACCCAGAGGCCTGAAACTCATGCCAGTTACATGTGCATGAGTGCCCCAAATCATGAGAGGAGAATGGAGAAGGGATTGTGAGATGGCCATCCCCCCAGGGGGTTATTTCTTGCTTTCTGTCTCTCTGGCGAGCCCACATGCCATGTAGCAAAAGTCTCTCTAAAATAACAACAACAAAAATCATCCTGGTGCATTTATCTGCCCAAAATCCCAAGGAGACTGGAGAAGGGACTGCAGTGTAGCCATCTCCGCTTGCGGGGTTGTGTGTGGGGGGTTCTCACCTTCCCTCCCTCCCTGTCTTTCTTTTTTTTTTAGAGAGATTTTCGCTATAGGGTGCATGCACTCAACAGACAGACAGAGACATAGAGACAGAAAGCGATAAATCACCCCCCACGGGGGATGGTCACGCCGCAATCCCTTCTCCTCCATTCTCCTCTCAGGATCGGGCACGCACGCACACACACCCGGCCTGAGTTTTAAGCCACCGGGTCCGGGACGCGAACCGCGGTCGACTACGTGGGAGTCCAGCGACATAGCCATTATGCTAACTGCTGGTTCTCCCTCCCTGTCTTTCTGTGGCAAGCAATGTGCAAAAAAAAAAAAAAAAAAAAAAAAAAAAAAAAAAAAAATATTGATATAGCATTTGTGTTAACATTTATAGCACTAAGAGTATTTTAATACCAGTGACATAAAACAACAGCAAATTTGTAATGAAAATTATTATAATAAAAATATTAAGCTGATTCAGTAGGAACCAAAATAAGATGTGTAATATGGCTTACAGCAATTTCTCAAGTAAAATTCCATCTAATAGTACAGTGTATCTTTAATATACATTCATTTCTTACAATTATGAATTTTTTTCCATCGATTTTTGCCATATGGTGTGTGTGCTCACCAGAGAGACAGAGAGAGGGAAAGTGAGAAATCACTTTTAGAAGGGATAGCCATGCCACAATCCCTTCTCTTTCAGCCTCCTCTCAGCATTTTGGCCTTGCACACACATACCAAGCATGATTTTCAAGCCCCCAGTCCAGGACTGGAACTGACATCAGCCTTGTGGCAGTCAGGTGCTTCAACGACCATGCTACCTGCTGGTCCTACAATGATGAATTTTAAAGTTACAGCAGGGATACTTTTTTGGGTTTCTTTGGCCTAGTTATTTGTTAGATGTCAATTATTTAGCAAGGGCTTAATAATATAGGGATTAATATTTTAAAGTGAGTTCTCAGTAATAGTATTTTAATGGAATAAAATACTAAAATATATTTTAAAAAATATAAACAACCTCAATACAAAATTTCTATATAGTAATAGACAATATAGAAATACGATTGAATCTAATTATGCATGCATGCATGCACATGTGTGAATTTATACACATATGTATTCCACAAGAGAAGAAGTAATAGCAGAAATACATTTATGCAGGATGCAAAGTAACTAGAAAAACATGAGCTCAGAATATATATATATTATAAGTGCAAACTCAATAAATTATCAGTTACAATTTTATTACTTGGTAATATATGGTGAGATGGGGTTTACAAATGGTGTGACAATGGTAGCAAAAGTGTCAGGAGGGAACTCAGCACTCAACATTTCTAATAAATAAAGCTTAGTTATTCATTAAATATTACGATACTATGCAGGATCAAAAAATTCCAACACTTCCGTAGAGCTTTGATATATTTCAGATAAACCAAATATTCTAGGTAGGCAAGCATCATACCTCTGGGAGTGCATAAGAGAACCACACAGATGCCATCTATGTGCTCTTCCCCTCTCCCACTGCACTTCAAAGTCATCTCCTGGGGCGCTCATTCAGACCCCCTATCCGAGATACCCAGCTTCCTGGCCCTTAACACTAGAAAAACTGGAGACCTGAATATCCACCATCTTCCTCCCAGGTTTTGGCCCAATTGTTCAGCGAGCCCCTTAAAAGTTCCAGCTGGCTGGGAGAGGGTGGAGCAGCGCTGTGGTTGGGGGCATCAGTGAGCAGCAGCAGCATGGCCAGCAGGAGAGGGCCAGACCTGCAGTTGTGTAGTGAGAACCAACCTCCACTGGAAACGCCTCTCGGATCTAAGCTGCCCTCCAATAGTAAGCTGTTAGCAAGTCCTTTTTGGAATTATCTGCTTTGTTTTTTGATCCCACAGAGCACACAGTCAGACAATACTTCAAAGGAATTACCTTGGAAAATGAATGGTTTTGCTGCCTACAAAACTGCATGGATCCAAAATATGATTATAGCCTCCAAGAATATTGGAAAATATTAGTTTACTATCTTGCTATATTTTGGCTACTCTTTATAGCTTCAGGTATTTTTCACAACTTGGATACACATCAGCACCCTAACACATTAACAGACAGTTAAAATATGATCCACTTGCTTCTCAATGATCTTAGTAATGTGGTCATTTATGAATGTGCTTTTGTGTGAAATTATCTACTAAAATATTTAATTTTTTTATATAAAAATTACGTATTACGTATTCCCCTCACATCTCAGAAATCAGTCTTGCGTTTAGGCTGTAAGGATTATAGAGTAGTGATAGGTCATTTCTCTCATATAGTCTTGAGGCAGGGGGTTCAAAGAAAACTGATTGTCAGTTTTATAGTAACCAAACACAGGACACCTATGATACAGATCTAAAGATAACCACGTATTCCAACTATTTATTCAATGTGTGTCCTTTAGAGCTCATGGTATTTCTTGTTCTTTATCTTTGATGGGATTAGTTTCATTTGATTTTGCGTGAAGGCAAAAGACAAACATCTTCTTTTCCTTGGCTTTAATTAGTCTCAAATTCACCTAAGAGAAAATATGCTTATTTCATGAAAGGTTAACATCATTAGTAGGTCAAATTTTTTTCTTCTGACAAATCTGCATTGTGTTTAAATTAACTAAATGTTTAAAAACACTAATCCTGAGCAAGAGTAAAAATAAGAGCAGTTTTGACTAAAGAATGAAATTCCTTCATTGTTAAACAGCTTTAAAATTCAGCCATGGAACACAAAGTCATTAAGACTGGAATTCAGACTTCTGATGTCCACGGCACACCTGAATACTCCAAGCAGAAATAAAACACGTAGTAGATAATACACAATAAAAAGCATCAGAAATTGATGCACCTGGAATTTGTTAAATATAACAAAGGTCACTTAGTTCTTCGATGGATAAACCTAGCTGGGAGAATAGCACTGAACAGTGTATTGCATTGAGCAAGGATCCCTCAGAAAGGCAACAGCAGATTTCTCTTCAGATAGGCACAGACTTTTTTCCCAAAACATTGAAAGACATAGAAGACATTTAGAAATACAATATGAATTCTGTTTTCATGAAATCAAAAAGTTCTGGCCACTTTGGTCACTTTGCATTTCTCGTTATAGCTACTACCCCATGTAAGGGAAGAGTTCACTACCCAGCAAAGCAGTATGATGACAAAGTATATGCCACTGAAGGCTTTAAGTGAGGGCTTTGCAACATGGGGTCAACCCAAGCCTAGATTTAAGAAGAATTTTCTAGTTCATGGGATGAAAGTGCATAGGACTGGGAAACTGCCAGCACAGCAAGAATCCTCTCACAGTATTAAGGCCTCTCCACATGGGAATGGGCAGTTGAAAGTCAGCACAGTGAACACCAGCGACGAGTTCTGATCATATGCCCAGCCCTCTGGGCTGCTTCAGTATGACTCTTCTTTTAATCAGACTGTCGCTCTTCCTCTTCTTCATCTGCTTCTTCAATGACCTGAATCTCATCTGCTTGAGGTAGGGAAGAATTCTCCACCTGCAGTTTATTTCCATCAGCTTTACATTTTTCTTCTTCCTCTATGATTTCCTTCCATATCTTGTGGTTTTCGGTGAGGTGGTGCATTAGCTGACAAAATATTCGCCTTCTGCTTTTCCTTCTTTGCGGTTCTGTGAAATTTAAAATAATAAACACATTCTAATCATAGCTATATGATTCATTCATTCATTCAAGAAATATCCAAGTGCCTACTTGTCGAAGCACTGAGGTTGTGACAACAAATAGTAAAATAAATTCCCTGCACTACTCATATTCCAGTGTGAAGACCTAGACAAATAAAAACAACTATGAATTTGTTAGATGGTATTAAGTGTTAAGGAGAAAATAAAACAGAGAAGGGGATTAGGCAGACGGTGTGGCAATGAGTTGGAGGTAAGGAAGAATGCTAAAGTTTCAAATGAAATAATAACAATCTAGAGTTAAAAGACAACCTGTTAAGAGTTTTTATGTACTGAATTAAACACAATTACCAACACTTTGGTGAATATAACTAATTTTTAGAAACCAGCCCACCTTGCCAAGTTGACACTCAGATGGTAATGGCATAAATTACTCTTTGCTATGCTAATCCTAAACACAAGGGTAAGTGTGTATTGGGGTGGCAGGCAGGCGATTCCTTGTAGCCATCCATCTGCTCTGAGTTGTAGCACGCTTGGGGAAGTAACAACAGCAAAACTAGTGAGGTGTAATTTAAATTTTACTTTAAATAAAGAGCAAATAACTAATTTCATTCACAATTACAGAGGAAACACTTCCCCCCCATTTTCCATTACACTCATCTTTTTTTTCTTAAGAGAGATTTTTGCTATAGGGCACAAGCACTCTCCAGAGAGACAGAAAGTGAGAAATCACTCCCCTCCCCCAGGAGGGATGGCCATGCCACAATCCGTTCTCCATTCTCTCGGGATTTTGGGTATGCACTCATATGCGCCTGGCATGACTGTTAAGCCTCTGGGTTTGGGACTTGAACCATGGTCAACTACATGGGTCTCCAGTGACATAAACAATATGCCATCTGCTAATCCCACACTCATTGTCTTTTATAGAAAAATGTGTCACGACAGTTCAGTAGCTCATATTCATAATGCTGCAAAACTTAGAACTGAGAACTGTTTTCCTTTTCTTCCCTCTGTTCGGATCCACTGCCCAGGTCTATGTGAAGGGCAGATCAATGGATGGCTGTGGGAGCTGTGCTCCTCAGTTCCCTGGTGGGGTTGGGGTCAGGGTGCATGAGGACGGGTGAGATGAAAGAGGACTCGCCACTGTGACCATCCAGCCCCCCATCTGTTCAGGTGTTGTGACAGCCCTATCAACTATGCATAGGTGGAGCCTGCTGAAGAGCCCTGTGGAGGACAGCACCTGACGAGATGCTGTTTTACTTAAGTAAGAAGGACTGCTTGTTGCGTACAGGAGCACAGTACCCAGCCTGCAGCAGTTAGTCAAAATGTGACTTGACTCAGAACATTTTCTGATTTTCTGTGATAGTTTCTCAAGGTGTGACTGCTGATAATAGGATCTAAGAAACAAAGATCCAAATCCAAATTAAACAGACATTAACACGGTAGTTAATAACATTAAATAAATTATAGTATCCCTGTATTCTTACTAGGATTTAGATTGTCTTCGTCATCAGTATCTAATTCTTCCCCGTCTTCGTCATCACCACTGTCAGTGTCATCGTCCTCTTCTGCTTCTATCCACTGACCTGGCAGCAAGCCAGCAGCGTCGTAAGAGTTACACAGAGGACCCACTATGTGGGTGATGAAAGATTCTTGGAGTTTTGCTAGTTGAGGAGAAGAACGATCCATGAAGGGACTAATGGGCAGACCAAGATTTGCTTCTTCATCTCCCTGAGCATTTAAAAAAAAAAAAAGTAATTATTTTAAAAAATCTGTTCAAAGAACCACCACTGAGCATTGATATTATAATTATCTCGAGGTTTTTAAAATAAACATTGTTTATACCAAATAAATCTTTTAAAGCATCAACAGATCTAATTATCATTTCAACTGAAAAACGTTTTCTAATATTTGAGGAACTAAACAAAACGTTATCCTCACATCTGTCCACACCAACCAGTATGACTGATGCTCACTTAAGAAAAATATGTATCTTTTAAAAATAAGTATCAGTAATTTTACTAACCTACAAAATTTTATACTGTCAAATATTCTTTCTCACAGGGAAAAAGGTATAATAGAAACATTTTTGTTGTTGTATTATTGTTGTACCTCAAATGTACAAAGCAGAATTTTCTAAGTGCTTTTCAATACCCAATTCTCCTTTTAAGTAGCAGAACCCTCTAATGAATATAAATTAGAAAACCCAATATGTATTGGGCCATTGGAAAAGTCATGTATTTTCTGTTTTTCTATGCAAAAATGCATCATGACTTTCCCAACAACTCAATGAAATAAGTAAAAGTAGAGCTGCTATGGTTGAGGTGAGAATTTGGGACCCAGAAGGCCTTAACTGCCTGCCTCTAACACCCTCCCTCACTATTGTTCTAGGGTTCTGAAGAACACAATTTGAGATTAGAAAGACATGGTTTTCAAAACCTGCTTTTGTTACTCCCTGTGAGGTAGCGGGAAAGCTCTAGCCCCAAGTCCATCAGGTGTAAAGCTGGAATAGGACTCTCTACCTTACGGGGGTTGTTATGAGGATGAAAGACTACTATGTAACATGTTCAGCACCTGAGCACTGCACTGAGCATTCCCCAAATGGCACTATTAATATTCTAGTCCTAGTATCTGCACTGGTTAAGAGTGAATTATTCGCCACAATGCAAGAATTCTGCAGGCAAGCAGTGCCTATCGGTGATGAGATGACGTAATCCTGAGGAAACAACCAGACACTGTCCCAATAATGAAGTCTCATGATTATGTCTTCTATAATTTTATCTTCTATGAGGAAGAAAACAGTATTTGTCCCCAAAACTTGGGTTTATTCATAAGATTCTGCAGTTTTATAGGTATAGCCCAGGATTTGGCTTTTCTAAACCCATGGTACTTAAATGGCTATCAAGGTATAAAAATAGTATAATGAAGATAATAAAAAAATTGAATAAGGTTAGAATTTTGCATCCATGTTTAAAGGAAGTTCTTAACATAGCCAGTATGAGAAGGAAGTTTAATAATTCTGATGAGAGATGACTAAGATTCTCTTACATGGTAGGGTGTCAGATGATATTTTCCTCCTTTGACATGAATAATGAAACAGAACTGTGAAGTTATCTGAAATACTAAGTTTGGTTTTGGTGATACATCTGGAATGATAATAGCTAACGTTTATTGAGCACTTATGTATGAGGCACTATTCTAAGAACTTTACATATATTAATTCATTCAATCCTCACAGCAGCCTTATGAGGTAGGTACCATCATTTTTTCTATTTTATCATTGGAGACACTAGAGAACAGAGAAGATAACTAATTTACCCAGGGTGACATGGTCAATAAGAAAGAGGAGTCAGGATTCAACCTCAAGCATGGTTTCCAAGTATGTCTGATAAGTATTAATTCAAGACACTTTAAAAATAACTACATAAGTTGAATTTAAATAAACATTTTGTTTGTATTTTTCTTTTTTTAATTTGCTGGAGGGCATGTATGCTTACCAGAGTCAGACATAGAACATGCGTGGGAGGGTGAGAAAGCACTCCCCAAGGGGGACAGCCATGCTGCAATACCTTCTCTATTTCTCCTTTTAGGATTTTATGCACACATGTACACATGCCTGGTATGTTTTTCAAGCCAGCAGGGCTGGGGTTTGATCCACACAGCTGACCATCTGGGATTCAGCCACCTTAACCACCACACCACTAGCTGGTCCTTAATTTTTTATGAATATAATACTTGAATATATTTGTGAGTGTACAACAGATTTTACAGTACAAGAATGCAATGTGTAATCATTCAGGATAATAAATAATAAAACCCATTATCCCAAACATTTGTCACTACTTGTATTGTGAAACTCAAAATCCTCTTTCAGTTACTTTGAAATACTCACCAAGTTATCACTGCCTATATTCTCCCCACTGTGTCTTTTAACCCTAGACATCATTCCTTCTTTATCTGCAATTCCATTCCCATTCATCGATATCCCTCTGTCCCTGCCCTCTTTCCCATCCAGTCATTCTTCATCCCTCTATCTCTATAAGGTCTTTTATTTTCAACTTCCACACGTGAGGGAGAACATTCGGCATTTCATTTTCTGTGCCTGACTTATTTCACTTAATATGATGTCCTCCAAGCTCATCCAGTTAACATCAAAAGGCAGGGTTTGGGGCCACAGGTGGTGCAAAGGTGAAGGTGGCTGGATTGCACATAGCTGACTATGTGGTTCCAGTCCTGAAACCAGCAGCTTGGAAAACATGCTGTGTGTGTGTGCGTGCCTGCCCAAAATTCCAAGAGGAGCATGGAAAAGAAGGGACTGCAGTGTGGTTTTCCCCACTGGAGGGTGATATCTCTCTCTCTCTCTCTCTCTCTCTCTCTCTCAAGCCCACATGCCCTATAGCAAAACTAAAAGAAAAGGGAAAAAAAAGGACAGGATTTCATCATTTTTAATTCTATTGTGTGTGTGTGTGTGTGTGTGTGTGTGTGTGTATAAACATATAGTACATTTTCTTTACCCCTTCATCAGTTGGTGGATGCTTGGGCTGCTTCCACTATTATGAATAGTGCTGCAATAAACATTGGTGTGTATGTATCTTTGTGATCTACTGATTAACTTACCCTATATGTCTAGTTGTGGGATTGCTAGATCACACAGTTTTATTTCTAGTTTTTTGAGGAAATCCATACTGTCTTTTATAATGGCTGTACTAATTTACATTCCCACCAATACTGTAACAAAATGTCCATTTCTCCACATCCTTGCCAGCATTTGTTGTTTTTTGTTATTTTTTTCTTTTTGATAACAGCCATTCTAACTGGGATAAGATAATATCTTATTGTGCTTTTGATCTGCATTTCCCTAATGATTAGTGATGTTGACCATTTTTCATGTTTGCCATTTGTTTGTCTTCTTGAGAACTACTTATTCAGATCATGTCTCTATTTTTAAAATTAGGTTATTGGGGTTTTGTTTTTATTTTTTTTAAGAGAGATTTTTGCTATAGAGCATGTATGCATGCCAGAAAGACAGAAAGTGAGAGATTTTCCCCTACCCCCAAGGGGGATGGCCACACTACAATCCATTCTCCTCTTGGGGTTTTGGACATGCACGCACACTTCCCCACGTGTGTTTTAAGTCACCTGATTCAGGATTTGAACCATGGTCAACTACATGAGAGTCCAGTGACATAACCATTATGCCATTTTGTGATGCTGAATTAATTTATTTGGTTTTGCTATTGTTTTTGACTGTTTAGTGTTGGACTTCCTTGTATATTCTATTAATCTTTTGTCAAATGATAATATGCAAATATTTTCTCCGATTCTGGGAATTTTCTCTTCAGTCTGTTTATTATTTCCTTTGCTGTGCGGAAGTGCTTTAGTTTGATATAATCCCATTTGTCTACCTTTTTTTTTGGTTGCCTGTGCTTTTGAGGTCTTATTCATGAACTCTTTGCCAGTACCAATGTCCTGAAGTGTTTCCCCTACGTTTTCTTCTAGTAGCTTTACTGTTTTCAGTTTCATGTTTTTAAGTCTTTAATCAATTTGGAGGTTGTTTTTTGTTTGTTTGTTTGTTTTAATCTGACGAGAGATAAGGGTATATATAGCTTCATTCTTCTGTATATGGATGTCCAGTTTTTCCAGCACCACTTATTGAAGATTGTTTTTCCTCCAGTGAATGACCTTGGTAACTTTGTTGAACAGTAACTGGCTATAATTTTGTGTGTGTACTTCTGGGTTCTCTTTTCTGCTCCACTGGCTTATGTGTGTCTTTATTTTCCCATACCATGCATGCTGTTTCTTTTTTTGCAATTGTGGCTTTATAGTATACTTTAAAATCTGGTAGTATGAGATGCCAAGTTCCATCCTTTTGCTCAGGATTACTTTGGTTATTTGGAGTATTTTCTGATTTCATATAACATTTTTAAAGAATTATTCCAATTTTATTATTATTATTATTATTTTTAATTTGACCAGAGAGAGAGAGAGAGAGAGAGAGAGAGGGAAAGTGAGAAAGCAAGCCACCAGGTGCAGGACTCGAATTGTGGTGTGCCATGTGGAAGTCCAGCACCTCAACCACCACACTACTTGCCAGTCTCAATTTCATACAGATTTTATGATTGTGTTTTTTCTATTTCTGTGAAGAACATCACTGGCATTTTTGACAGATATTACATTCAATATACATGTTACTTGGGTAGTATAGACATTTTAACAATATCAATGCAATCCATGAGAATGAGATGTTTTTCCACATTTTTGTGTTTCTTCTGTTTCTTTATAGAGATCTTTCATTATAAAGAAAGTGTTCATTATAGAGTTATTTTACCTCCATTATTAAATTTATTCTTAGATATTGTATTTTCTTTATAGCTATTGTAAATAGAATTGATTTTCTGATTTCTTTTTCATTACTAGTATATGAGAATGCTACCAATTTTTGTATATTGATTTTATATTCTGAAACTTTACTAAATTTGTTTACCAGTCCTAAAAGGGTTTGTGTGTGTGTGTGTGTGTGTGTGTGTGAGAGAGAGAGAGAGAGAGAGAGACCTCTTCAGGGTTTTCTATATATTGTAGAAGATCATTTTATCTGTGCGTAAGGACACATTAACTTCCTCCTATCCAATCTGGATGGACTTTATTTATTTATTTATTTATTTTTTGCTGCTGCCCTATTACTCTGGAGAGGATTTTCAGTATTGTGTTGAATAAGAGTAGTGGAAATGGATATTTTTGTCTTGTTCCAGTTCTTAAAGGAAAGGCTTAATATGATATGTTAGCTGTGAGTTTGTCATTATATGGTCTTTACTGTATTGAGATACGTTATTCTATACCTACTATTTTGAGCATTTTTATCATAAATATAACAAAATGTTGTATTTTGTTAAATGCTTTTCCACATCTGTTGAAATGATCAGATGGGTTTTCCTTTCATTTTGCTGATGTGGTGTGTCACATTTATATACCATCCTTGCCTCCATGGGGTAAAGCCACTTGGCAATGATGTATAATCTTTCTGATGTGCTATTGGAATTGACCTGCTAGTATTTTGTTTAGGATTTCTGCATGTGTGTTCATTAGGAATATTGGTCTGTAGTTTTCTTTATTGTTAAGTTTCTGTCTGGTTTTGGTATCAGGGTAATGCTGGCCTCACAGAATGAGTTTGGAAAGGCTCCTTCCACTTCTGTTTTTTGGAATAATTTGAGAAGTCTTGATTTTAGGTCTTCTTAAAGGTTTCATAGAATTCAGAAGTGAAACCATCCAGTCCTGGGATTTTTATTACTGGCTCCATTTCATTGGTTATTGTTTTGTTTGGGTTTTCTGTATCTTCCTAGTTCAGTCTTTGTAGGCTGTGTGTGTACTAGAATTTATCCATTTTATCTAGATTTTTCAGTTTGTTGGAATATAGTTGTTCATAATAGTCTCAAGTCATCTTTATAGTTCTATGGAATCAGTTATAATGTCTCCTTCTTCATTTCTGATTTTATTCATTTGGGCTTCAAAATAAACATTTCTCATGTTATTTCTCTAAATTAGTGAGTCTTCTAAAATTGACATATAACAAGACTTTTTTATTATCTATTTACTCTGCTAATATAAAGATGGCATTTTCCTTAACATAAAATTCCTATTTTATGGGCAAAAGTCTACAGGAGAATTCTAAGGCAGGCTTCAATTATCACTGAAAGTAAGTATGGTAATATTGAAAATAGACATTTGGTCTTACAAGTTAGGTAGATATAACCATTTATTACCCCAAATTACATATAATTTTGTTTAAATGCATCAAGGAAGAGTAAAACATTAAAAATCTTGGAAAACTTATATATTTACATGATTACACAATATGATTTTTTAAAGAATTATTTATTTAATTTTATTTATTTATTCATTTATTTTAATTTGACCAGAGAGAGACACACAGAGAGAAGGGAAAGTGAGAAAGCAAGCCACTAGATCCAGGACTTGAACCGTGGTTGACCATGTATTAAGGCCCACTGCCTTAACCACCATGGTACCTGCTGGGCCCCCAAAATATGATGTTTTATAATATATACACAGTAGAGTAGCTAAGTTAGGTATAAGACACTGCACGTTTACAACAGAACCTGGGAGTAACAAGGTATACTAGGTAAGTATGCATGAGTATAAAGGCTCAACCTCATTATTCCTATTTCTCTCTCTCTCTTTCTCTCTCTCTCTCTCTCTCTCTCTCTCTTTCTCTCTCTTTTTAGTTCTTGCTATAGGGCATGTGTGCAAACCAGGGATGGGGAGAAAGTGGGAGGGAGGGAGGGAGGGAGGGAGAGAGAGCGGAAGTGAGAAATCACCCCCTCTGGGGGTCATACTGCAGTCCTTTCCTTACCATTCTCCTCACAGGATTTTGGGCAGGCACACACACATACCTGGCATGTTTCTTAAGCCACCGGGTCCAGGACTCAAAGCAGCCCAGTCGATCACCTGAAACCCAGCCTTCTTAACCTCTACACTACCTACCAGCTCCTAGTCCTATTTTGTATTCACGAAAGCCCTGTCACTAAGGAGGCCTCACTTGGTAGACATTTTGATCATTTCTGATTATTAAGCAAACAAGGATAATACAACTCTACAGCCAAGAAGATGTATTTGATATTTTGGAGATAATAAAATGCTAGGTTTGTGGGGAAATCAGCATACTTCTATATTTTAAGAAGCTTCAAAACTGGACAAAAGGCAGAGATTCAAAAAAGTGTTAGAATTATTTTTTAAGGCCAAGATTTTAAGAGATATGAAAAGAACACATTTGTATTATTAAATATTTGAAAACCCCTATCTGTTCTATTGCAATTTCCAGTCTTTCATTTTCTTACTCTCTGCTAGAACTTTGCACCATTGATGTTTCTATGGCAGGATAGCTGGTCTTTCTGTCTCAGAGTTGAAAATAGTTGTTATTTTTAAAATGTGTTCTGTGCATGCCCTGAATCACTTAAAGACCATTTTATCTAGAAATAAATTATTCTAGATTGTGGAGTCTCAGGGTTGAAAGGGACCTTGAAACTATAATGTAGTCTATCTTTACATCTAGACTCAGGAATACACTCAGCCCATCCAGATGGACAATAACCATGTTTTGTTGTTTAAACTTTACCAACAAGGGCAAACAAAGCTAAGAAAATATAAGGAAACAGAGCAAACACAAGAATTTCAAACCCTTTATAATTAAAGCAACTCAGATTTCAAACAGTTAATGTTGCTATCCAAATCCCAAAAAACTGTCTTCACATGATGGCTTTTAAATATACCACCAAACTTGGGACCAGCAGATGGCATAATGCTATGTTGCTGGACTCCCATGTAGTCGACCATGGATCAAGTCCCAGACCCAGCAGCCTAAAACTCATGCTGGATGTGTGTGCATGCATGCCCAAAATCCCAGTAGGAGAATGGAGGAGCAGGAACTGCAGCATGACCATCCTTCCAGGGAGGGTGATTTTTTGCTTTCTCTCTGTCTCTGTCTCTCTGGTGAGAACATGTGCCCTATAGAAAAAATCTCTCTTAAAAAAAAAACAAACCACCAACTTATATTTCAACTTACCTGCTCATAAAATTCATTGACGATACCTTCTGTCCATTTCAAATGCAAGTCTCGGACTTTGGCTGGACCATTTATGTCTGCCAGTTTGATGCACACCTGGCACACCAAGAGGCGGTCGTTCTCATTGCTCCATTCTATACCGTTACTATTTACATCGTTGGCCTGTTTTGGAGAAACAGAATGATTTTAGGCTCAGAGGGCATAGGAATTTTTTTGAATATGTGTTGCTGAAGTGAGCACAAGGAGATTTTTTAATAGTTTTGTTCATTTTTACTTTAAAATTATCTTAAAATTTTTTCCTGTCTAGATGACAGGGTGAAATGTTAGTAAATCCTTTTGAAAATCAATTTATGCCATAACATGAGCCTCTATGTGTTAAATTTCTCTTTGAAACATCACCATTATTTTGTTTCAGAGGGAGCATAGCTCTCTAAAAATATATAACCAACCATGGGTTACAACATTTGCAGTGTGTGTGTTTATAGTTGGCACACCGTGTCCACAGGTTCTACATGCACAGATTCAGCTAACTGCATTATTACCTAAATACTATTACAGTGATTTACATAGCATTAACATTGTACTGTATTGTAAGTAATCTAGAGATGATTTAAAGTACATGGAGGATGCACCTAATATTATATTATAAATCATATGTCATTTTATATAAAAGACTTAGGCAGTTGTGAATTTTGGTATCCACGAAGGTCCTGAAACCAATCCCCCACAGATACTGAAAGACAAGTGTATGTACATCCTATGTATGATAAGTATATGTGTGTGTGTGTGTGTATGTATATGCATGTCTGTATACTATCAATAAATCATATAAGAAATGTAAAAAAAGAATACTTAAGGAGCTAAAAGAAGTTGCCTCTAGCTATTAAAGGCAACAGGATACAGTTTAAGAGAGCATGAGTCTTAAAAGTTAATACCTATGAGGGACCAGCAGTTAGCATAATGGCTACGTCACTGGACTCCCACATAGTCGACCGTGGTTCGCGTCCCGGACCCGGTGGCTTAAAACTCACGCTGGGCGCGTGTGCATGCGTGCCCAAGATCCCGAGAGGAGAATTGAGCAGAAGGGATTGCGGCGTGGCCATCCCCCCTGAGGGGTGATTTCTCATTTTCTGTCTTTCTGTCTCTGTCTGTCTGCGAGCACACGCACCCTATAGCAAAAAAAAAAAAAAAACTCTCAAAAAAAAATAAATAAAAAAAGTTAATACCTATGGTTTTATTTTAGTTGTTGTTGTTGTTGTTGTTATAGGGTGTGTACACTCACTGGAGAGAGACAGGACAGAGAGAAAGAGGGAAAGTAAGAAATCACCTTCCAGAAGGGATAGCCACATTGCAGTCCGTTCTCCTCCATTCTTCTCTTAGGATTTTGGGCACACATGTACATGTACTCAGTGTACTTTTTAAGCTGCTGGGTCCAGAACTCAAACTACAGCTATGTGGTATCCAGCTACTTTAACCTCCATGCCACTTGCTGGCCTGATACCTATGGTTTTAAATCCTGACTCAGAATAATTTACTAATTCAGTGTATAACACTGAAGAAATTATTTATCCTATTTGAATCTAACTTTTTTCATCTATGAAATGGGAAAAGTAATGCAAATCTAGCTGTATTGTCATGAGAATTAATATATGAAAAATGTCTAGTTCATAATAAATGCTATGCTATTAAAATATTAACTAGGGCCAGCAGGTAATTTAATGGTTAAGGCACTGAACTCCCACATGGCTAACTGTGGTTCAAGTCCTGGAGCTGGCAACTTGAAACGCATGCCAGGCACATGGGTGTGCACGCCCAAAATCCTGAGAGGAGAATGGAGGAGAAGGGATTGTGGTGGTGTCATCCCCTCCAGAGGGAGATTTTTCACTTTCTCTCTTTTTGTCTTTCTCTGTCTCTCTGGAGATTGCATGAACCATACAGCAAAAATTTCTCTCTCTAAAAAATAAATGCTGTTATTTAAATAAATGATAATTATTACTTAATATTAGTTAGGCAAATTAGTATTCCTTTCAATAATTCAAATTTTTGAATTTTAGCATGATGGTTTTGTGTAAGTGGTTATTTTTTTTCTTTGCACGAAACCCTAGGAAAATTTATATAGAATGCCATCACAGAACAGAGAGAGGATAGCTCTTTTGACTTAAACTGCATGACAGGTCTAGAGCCTCACTCACATAGCATTTTCCTGAGACACTTGAGAACATAAGTCTTTGAGGAACACAGATTTAAAAGTACTGGGTTAGATAATCTTTCACCATTAAAAGGTTACTCTAAGCACTTACATAAGCCTTTATTAACAATACAAATAAAAGCAATAAAGCTATACAACTATGAAATAACTTTAAAGGTACTTTGATTCCTCGCCAATTTTTATAAGCATCTTATTATTCTCATGACAGCAACATATATAGGAATCTCCTTCCAGGAGGCTAAATCTAGTACTTTGTCACCATTTTCTCTATTCTGAAGGAACAGTTTCCCTTAGGTCACAAAAGTTATCAAGAAAACAGCTGCTTCCTGCCAGTCAAAGAGAGGGATCCTTTCCTCAGGAATCCATAGCAGTGGTTCTCAACTTACTTTCACCTCAAAGGTCTAGGGATAGACCACGCCCCCACAGTCCACTCTTGTCCTAGGGCAGTTCTCTACTCCCTGTGAATGTGAGTCGGCTGAGGGAAAGGACTTTGACCTGTTCTTTCCTCGGTTTCCCTAGCACACCCACTGCACGTAGTGGGCAATCCCAATAAACAGCTGCAGTTGGTGAATGAGTGAATTATCCATAATTGGATGAGGATACTTCTCTGGACACCAGCCAAAGAGTCACTAATATAAAGAAGGCCTAACGGGTGTGAGAAGGAAGGCATAACTGACTTGTTAGAAACACATCTTTAATTTCATATAATGCCTTACTTGGCATTGTGCATGGCTTTCTTAAATCTGCCCATAAAATCTTTGACAATTAAATGATTTGTCGCTATGTAGGAAAAGGTCACAATAACTTAAGCCTATGTGTTAAAAGAAAAATAGCAAGCAGTAGTATTTTAGGACATGTTATGATTATACAAATGTTTTTAAAATATAGGTATACATATTATAGCAATCTTTTATTGTTACTTCATGAGTATTATTGCATTTAACTTAACATTAAAAACACCTTTTATCGGTAACACTGGCAACAATGATTTTCATTTTTGAAAGCTGGCACTAATTTGTATAACAAACCTTGGCATTGAATTCAGCAAGGAAATCAAAATGCTTTTTAAGGTCTGTGGCAAGGATTGCTTCGATGACTAAAAACCGAAAGCGCTTGAATTCCACATGATCGAGATTAAGAAGGAAGTTGTATTCTGGGTGAGAAAGATATAGATTCCAAGCTGATGCAGCATGGTGATTTTCCAGAACAGATCTGTCATTGTATAAAACTGCCTAAAGAGGAACAAAGAAAATGAGTCAGGCATCTCAAAGATATTAAACTTTAATAATCAATTGAGTTAGGAGCAGGTTGGAAGAATACAAATAATAAGTGCTTACTACAGACCCAACATTTTACCAAGTGTTTTTGTTTTTGGCTATAGGGCATGTGTGGTCATGGGAGAAGGAGAAAGGTCGGGTGGGAGTGAGAAAGCACCCCCAAGGGGGGGATGACCACACCATAATCCCTTCTCCTTCATTCTCCTTTAGGATTTTTTTCTTTGGAGAGGTTTTTGCTATAGGGCATGTGCACCCACCTCTTTATGCAAATTCCAACCCAAAAGGAATTTTACATCTTATCAGCTATACTGGATACAAAATAATGTTACACCAAAATAATCTTTACATACACTAATATATTCTGTGCTAAGAGATTTAGAGACTAGATATTAAGGGAAATAGGAGAAGAACAAAATAGATTAATAGTTCTCCTTAGCCATTGCAATTTTTTTGGCCATACATTGGATCTAGTCAGAAGGAATATAAATTTTATAACAGTGAGAGTTTTATTAATTTGTCAAAAACAAAAATATTGACAGCAAGTGCTCTAGAATTCCATAAAACAAGAAGTTACTAGGTCTTGAACTATTTTCTAGTTGAAAAAGGTGTTTTTTTCCTAATTCCCTAGCACGTACTATGTCAATGCCATGTGTTATTATCCAGTTAATTATCAATACTATGTAGGATCTTAGAGTCAAATGGAATGGCCACGTGATTTAACTGAAGAATGATTTATAACACATGATGCAGGGCCAGCTCATGGCATGCTGTTTAAGGAAGTCGATCCCATATGGCCAAACAACCTTGCTGTTCGAGTCCCAGACCCTAAAGAACACACTAGATAAGTATGTGTGCATGCCCAAAATCCTGAAGGGAGGGAAAAATGGAGGAGAAGGGATTGTGGCATGACCATTCAACATGGTGGATGCTTTTGATCTTCCCCCATCTTTTCTCTCTGTGTCTCTCTCCAGCAAGCACACATGCCCTCTGGCAAAATTTTAAAAAGAAAACTACAAAGGACTATGCAGCATGGTTGTAGATGATTTAAACTTCTGAAAAGTATTTCCTACCTGAGGGGCATTTGTAGCCACTAGAAATGCATTTGTCCTCCCTGGGTGGTCATAATCATGCATGGCAGCTGCCACATACAAAGCCATCAATTCTAGCGCAGGGATGTTTGAAGACAGGCAGCCATAGCTCTCATCTGGTACAGAGCAGCTCTTTGAAGAAATATAAGCAATGCGCCCAGGGTTAAGTCCACCATCAGAATCTGAGGAACAATAAATAGCAAAATAAACCAGCATTCGTACATAACTTTATCATACTAAAGAGGGAATTCCCCATTGGTAATATACTTACCTTCTTTTTTGGCTTAACTCAGAAATAGATCCTATGGTCTTAAAAGCATATATACTATTTCCAACATACAGGCTAATAAAAGCTGTTAGGTGTGACTCTGAAGTTGGTTACTTTACAGGACATGATAATATTCTCGTGCCAGCTAGCTTATTCAGGCTAATTGTTTTTCAAAACCTCTGATTTTCTAAGCATTTGCTATTTAAGGGCTAAATATGAAAGCCAGAACATAGGATAGAAAAGGAAAAAGCAATACTAGAGAATAAACTTTAATGGAAACAAATGAAGGGAAGTACCTGCTTCATTTCCTGTTCCATGATCATTATGGATCTGCTGTAAGCCAGGAATTGGCCGTGTTGTCAGATACCAGACTGCGTGTAGGACATCTGTGGCATGTATACGATTGTGATCTAAAATTAGCAAAATCTTTATTTAAAAATCATCATGAAGAGAAATACCTATTTCTTAGGTTTTCTATAAAGATTAAATGTTAGGGCCAGCAGGCGGTATAGTGGTTAAGGCACCAGACTCCCACATGGCTGACCATGATTTGAGTCCTGGACCTGGTGGCTTAAAAAATCACGCCAGGCACATGTGAGTGCATGCCCAAAATCCCAGAAAGAGAATGGAGGTGAAGAGATTGTGGCCTTCCCCTCCTGGGCAGTGATTTCTCACATTCCCTCTCACTGTCTCTGTCTCTCTCTCTCTGATAAGCACACACACACCCTCTGGCAAAAACCTTTTAAAAAATTAAATGTTAGGGCCAAGTCCTGTAGCCTAGTAGTTAAGAAAGCTGGATCTCACATGGCCAACCATGGTTTGAATCCCAGGCCTGGTGGCTTGAAACACATGCTTGGGTTCATGTGTATATGTGCCCCAAATCCTAACTGGATGGAGAGATGGAGGAGAAGGGATTATGGTGTGACCATGCTACATCAAGAGGTGCTTTCTAGAACTCGCTCGCTCTCTCTCTCTGGCAAGTAAGTGCACATATCATCTGACAATTGAAAAGAAAAAGGGAAAGGGTTGAATGTCAAACAATAATGTGAAAACATCCAGAACAGGGTCTGACACACAGTTAAGATCAGTAAGACGTGGGTTTACTGAAGTATCACCACGTGAAAATGTGGCACAGTGTGAAGAGTATGGGCTTCAGAAGTCAGACCTAGAAATGAAACCCAGCTTTGCTATGTAGTGTTACAATCTTGAAAAAAATCCTCCTGAGGTTTTACTTCTCACCACTGAGAGGACAATAATACTACCTTTCCAACAAACATTACATGAGATTACCTGTATGAATCCAATGATCATTGTTACACCAGATATCCCATAAAAATTCAACACTTCAACAAATATTCAGTGTATTTAGTGAATATGTGCAATGTAACATTAACATGATACACTGCTAAGTGTCCAGGCTGTAGATGTGACATGATGTTAATCCACCAGGAGCTTATTATTCATATCATTGGCAGCTTTTATTGACAATTTACTATGTGCCATGAATTCTGATATATGACTTACAAGGATGATCTTATATCATCACTACCCATAGGGTTGGGACTATTGTTATTCCCATTTATAAATTTGTAAATTAAAGGTTAAAAGACACTTTTCTTAATTACGATATCCCGACTGGAGCTGACAGTGAAGATTCCTTCCCTTTTCATTGTACCTTCCATGAAGTCCATCTTAAAGTATCTAATATTCCATTGGTAAAATGTAACCACTTTTTAAAATGAACACTTCTTTTAACTGCCAGAGGGTACATGTTCTCACCAGAGAGAGGAGAAGAGACAGAAAGAAGGAAAAAACATCCCCACCAATAGAGCATGGTCACGCCGTAATCCTTTCTGCTCCGTTTTCCCATCCTGTTGGGATTTGGGGCATACATGTCCATGTGCCTGGTATGTTTTCCTCTCCGTGGTGTGTTTTTTAAGCCACGGGCCGGGACTTGGCCTTAACCACTAGGTAATGAGGCCAGCCCTCCAATGCACATTTCCTAAGTGGAAATTATATTATACAACTTACCTCAAGTTATTAAACATTATTGATGAGTTCAGTCAATTTGCACTCCTGTATCATTAATTTCCCAAATACCATATCCATATGGAGAAAAACTATAAAGTGTATCAATATATAGAGAAAGCTATACATTGTAGCTAATGTTAAATTCAAATTATATTCAGCCACAAAATCAAATAGCCATTAAAAATTATTCCATAAATTAGTACATGATTAAAAACAGAAATACATGGTTATACTTAAAACAATCTGAAGTAAAAAATTTTATAAAACTCGACTTTACTTAATATTACTAAATATTTTAAAAGATAAAATACTCTAATAATTTTCAATATAGAAAGATATATGCTATGTAACAAGTGAAAAAGCAGATTATAAATAGATATTAATACTATAATCCACTTTACAACAAATAAATTTATATATGAAAACACTTTAGAGGCTATATACCAAAATGTTAACAGTAGTCAGTTAACTGTAGGAAGCAGAACACAGATTTTCTTTTACATTTCTATTTAAAAAGTTCTCAGGGCCAGCAGGTGGCATGATGGTTAAGGAGCTAGACTCTCACATGGCTGACTACAGTTCAAGTCCTGGACCAGGTGGTTTGAAAATCATGTTGGATGTGTATGTGTGTGTGTGCACCCCAAATCTTGAGAGGAGAATGAAGCAGAAGGGACTGTGGAGAAATCACCCCAGGAGGTGATTTCTCACTTTCTATCTCTGTCTCTGTCTCTTTCTCTCCAGTGAGTGCATATGCCCTGTGGCCAAAAGAAAAAATCTTAAAAATAAAAAATTCAAATAGGTTCCAGTGGCTTAAACTCATGCTGGGTGCGTGTGCTTGTGTGCCCAAGATCTCGAGAGGAGAATGGAGGAGAAGGGATTGCAGCATGACAGTCCCCCAGAGGGGTGATTCCTCCCATTCTGTCTCTGTCTCTGTCTTTCTGGTGAGCACACATGCCCTATAGCAAAAACCTCTCCAAAAAAAAAAGAGGGAAAGATTAAAAAAAAAAAATTCAACCATGTAGTTTAAAAAGTACTTAAGGGACCATCTAAAGATAAAGGTAATAAAGAGTTTCAAAACTAGTATTACTTAAACTTAAATAATAAGATATGTTAATACTTACAAGGAATATCTCGATAGCCATTTTCTAGTGCACGAAAATAGTTCATGAATTGTTGAGTGGGGATTTTAAATATTTCCAATAAACCAGTGTCTTGAAATAAGGTATACATAACCTAAATGTCAATTAAAATAAAGTTCACTTTAAAAATCAGAATTTCTGTTTATAGCTGAATATATTTTTGTGATCTGCGTTTAGGAATGTTAACTGTATGTACACCTTTAAGTTAATAACTTGTTTAAAAACTTCCCTGCTATTAATTCTTTCCTAAAGTCATGAAAACTTATTATGTACATCATGTCCCAATTTTAAAAATTTCCTTTCTTCTCGTTAGCTTTTTATTCATATTTACTGAAGGGTAATAAACTCTATTCTATTCTAGTCCTAAGTGTTTAAAAAAAAAAGTCGGAACAATATCATATTTATCACATTTTGTATCTAAAAATTTCAGTGAGGTGAACTTATGTCCTTCACACAATTTATCATTCTGTTTTTGCATTTCATTAGTAAGATAGTAAAAAAATTCATGAGAGTGGTGTCTTGGGACAGTTAATCTGATGCTGTTATGTAAACCAATCAGGTAAAAGCTTGACTTTAGGTAGTAAAAAAAAAAGTATTTTTCCATCATTCTAGCATGAAATGAAGCATTAAGCTTTGAGCAGCTTAAGTTTCAGTGATTAAAACTCGATCACTTTTCATTCCCTTTTCAACCTCAAGATTCAGAGAAAAGCAAATATTACTTCTTAGCTTAAGTTAAAGTAATATGGTCAAATCAGCTAGTTTTCACTTATATAGACATAATCGTATAACATTTATATTATATGTAACACAAATATCATTGTATATATTTTTTATTTTTTCTGAAAAAATAAATAATTCAATGAGCAAAGTCAATATTGAACTATGGCCTAAACTAATATTATACATTTATATTTTTATAAAGGTTTGAGAAAAAATTAATTTATATTTAAAAAGTAGAGGCTTCAAAACAAACCTGACTGAGAATTCTTCCTGATTTTTCTCCCATCTTTTCCACAAGTTCGAAAATTTGAAAATTCCAATTGCTCATCTTTTCTATTAATGAGTCATAATCTTCTATTAAAATCAGGTCCAGCGATGTTTCCTGTTCAATCTGTATATATAGAGAGGAAAAAACGCAACTTAACCTTTTATAAATCTTGCTCAGTCTACATTCACATGAGAACACTTAGAGTTGAACATTAAAAAATGCCCACAACGGGGCCAACAGGTGGCACAGTGGGTAAGGCAGTGGGCTCTCAACAGCTGACTGAGCTTTCTAGTCCCAGACCTGGTGGCTTGAAAATCATGTCAGGTGCAAGTGTGTGCATGCCCAAAATCCCAAGAGGAGAATGGAGAGGAGATTGAAATTGTGGCATGGCCATACCTCCTGGGGGGTGCTACTTCACTTTCTCTCTCTCCTTGGTGAGCATATATGCCCTATAGCAACAACAACAAAAAAGTACTATTTTCTATACTGATTATATCCCAAATGTACTCTTATCTATACTTTCTAATTCTTCTCTTTGTAGAATGTTATCTTCAGATAACTGTAAACAAATCTTCTGGGCATCAGAAGATTTATTAATACATTACTTTTATCAATAAAAAGTTTTACTTCCAAATTATAACATAAATCTCAAATTCATCATTTTCATTTTAGAAGTTACAGGCACCAAAGGATAAAAGAAAGAAACTCTTACTCCTTTTTTTTTTTTTTTTTTAAGAATTATTTCAGGACCAGTAGGTGGCGTGGTGGCTATGAACACTGGACTCCCACATGGCTGACCATGATTCGAGTCTCGGACCTGGTGACTTGCTTTCTCACTTTCTCTCTCTCACTCTCACTCTCACTCTTGCTCTCATTCTGTCCCTCTCTGATCAAATTTTTAAAAATAAACAATTCTTTTTTTTAATTCATTTTTTAAAAGAATTGTTTCATTTAATTATTTATTTATTTTTAATTTGACCAGAGAGGGACAGAGAAAGAGAGAGAAAATGAGAAAAGCAAACCACCAGGTCTGGGATTTGAATAGCAGTCGGCCATGTGGGAGTCCAGCACCATTAACCCACCATGCCACCTGGGCCCCAAGAAACTCATGTTCTCATTTTGTCACTTATTATTAGGGAAAATTCCCAAAAGAAATAGTTGAGGCTTGTTTCCTACGAGCTTAAATTGTGAACTTCATAAATAAAAAATAGTGCTACTATTAGTAGATTGTTTTCATTGTTTTTGTTTTGTTTTGTTTTTGAGAGGTTTTTGCTATAGGGCGTGTGCGCTCACCAGACAGACAAACAGAGACAGAGAGACAGAAAGCGAGAAATCGTCCCCCAGAGGGTATGGCCACGCCGCAATCCCTTCTCCTCCATTCTCCTCTCGGGATCTTGGGCACGCACACACACGTGCCCGGCATGAGTTTTAAGCCACCGGGTCCAGGACACGAACCACGGACGACTACGTGGGAGTCCAGCAACATAGCCATTACGCTAACTGCTGGTCCCACTGACAATTCAACATTTTATAAGAAGAAAATAACAAATCAGAAAAGAAGATATCTACTATAAAACTAAATAAAATGTTTTCACTTTCAAACAAAGGCAGTTTGTTGCTTTAGAATAATAGATCTAGAACTAATTACTTGTAACCCAAGCAATACTTCAATTATAGTGATCTCTCAGTAAAACTATTAAAAATATCATTACGTTAAAATTTTTGTTCTGAGAAATATAATAAGACCAGTACTAACTACTGTGCTATACGTTTCACCTTGACATAACCACAATGAAAGTTTATCTTTTACATTTGGTTGCTGCTCATTCTGTGCCTCTTCAGTTAGGTGGTTCTCGCCTTCCAAAAATAACCCATAGTCTCTTTTCTCTGTTTCATCTTCTTGATGAGTTTCCATAGGGCTGAATGATTCTTTTGAGAAGACAGAGTTTTCTTCTTCACCTTTCAAAAATATATATACAGTAACAAATAAGAATAAATTTGTTCCAGACATACAGCTTTATAAGAAAAATGGTTATTTGTTTAAAATGTTCAGATAAAGTGTACCATAAAGGAGTTCAATATGAATTACTTTATGATGCCAGTAAGTTTTTTTTTTTCAAAGAATTATTTATTTAATTTTATTTATTATTATTTTTTAATATGCTACAGGGTACTTGCAATCACCAAAAAGAGACTGGGGGTAGGGGGAAGTAAGAAAGCAAGCATCCAGGTCCAGGACTCCACCCTCAGTTGACCATGTGGGAGCCCCGCACCCTAACCATCACGGCACCTCCCAGTCCCGATGCCAGTAAGATTTATCCTGCTGGACTATTTTACCCAGGTAGTTTATGCTCAGACAAGTGTTTCACATAATGAACTCACCTAATCAAGGAAGCAGAGGAAAGAAGAGTGAATATTCTTTGTAACAGTGGGGAACAAAAAAGGTCAGTTCTATCAGTAGGAACTTTCTTACCAATTGGATGTAAGCAATTTCTAGGGCTTGAGTTTTAGATATAAAAACCCTAAATTCATAATTAAAAATGAGTGAAATTAAGCCACACACTGCCTCCTTTTTTTTTTTTTTTTTTAAGAATTATTTCAGGACCAGTAGGTGGCGTGGTGGCTATGAACACTGGACTCCCACATGGCTGACCATGATTCGAGTCTCGGACCTGGTGACTTGCTTTCTCACTTTCTCTCTCTCACTCTCACTCTCACTCTTGCTCTCATTCTGTCCCTCTCTGATCAAATTTTTAAAAATAAACAATTCTTTTTTTTAATTCATTTTTTAAAAGAATTGTTTCATTTAATTATTTATTTATTTTTAATTTGACCAGAGAGGGACAGAGAAAGAGAGAGAAAATGAGAAAAGCAAACCACCAGGTCTGGGATTTGAATAGCAGTCGGCCATGTGGGAGTCCAGCACCATTAACCCACCATGCCACCTGGGCCCCAAGAAACTCATGTTCTCATTTTGTCACTTATTATTAGGGAAAATTCCCAAAAGAAATAGTTGAGGCTTGTTTCCTACGAGCTTAAATTGTGAACTTCATAAATAAAAAATAGTGCTACTATTAGTAGATTGTTTTCATTGTTTTTGTTTTGTTTTGTTTTTGAGAGGTTTTTGCTATAGGGCGTGTGCGCTCACCAGACAGACAAACAGAGACAGAGAGACAGAAAGCGAGAAATCGTCCCCCAGAGGGTATGGCCACGCCGCAATCCCTTCTCCTCCATTCTCCTCTCGGGATCTTGGGCACGCACACACACGTGCCCGGCATGAGTTTTAAGCCACCGGGTCCAGGACACGAACCACGGACGACTACGTGGGAGTCCAGCAACATAGCCATTACGCTAACTGCTGGTCCCACTGACAATTCAACATTTTATAAGAAGAAAATAACAAATCAGAAAAGAAGATATCTACTATAAAACTAAATAAAATGTTTTCACTTTCAAACAAAGGCAGTTTGTTGCTTTAGAATAATAGATCTAGAACTAATTACTTGTAACCCAAGCAATACTTCAATTATAGTGATCTCTCAGTAAAACTATTAAAAATATCATTACGTTAAAATTTTTGTTCTGAGAAATATAATAAGACCAGTACTAACTACTGTGCTATACGTTTCACCTTGACATAACCACAATGAAAGTTTATCTTTTACATTTGGTTGCTGCTCATTCTGTGCCTCTTCAGTTAGGTGGTTCTCGCCTTCCAAAAATAACCCATAGTCTCTTTTCTCTGTTTCATCTTCTTGATGAGTTTCCATAGGGCTGAATGATTCTTTTGAGAAGACAGAGTTTTCTTCTTCACCTTTCAAAAATATATATACAGTAACAAATAAGAATAAATTTGTTCCAGACATACAGCTTTATAAGAAAAATGGTTATTTGTTTAAAATGTTCAGATAAAGTGTACCATAAAGGAGTTCAATATGAATTACTTTATGATGCCAGTAAGTTTTTTTTTTTCAAAGAATTATTTATTTAATTTTATTTATTATTATTTTTTAATATGCTACAGGGTACTTGCAATCACCAAAAAGAGACTGGGGGTAGGGGGAAGTAAGAAAGCAAGCATCCAGGTCCAGGACTCCACCCTCAGTTGACCATGTGGGAGCCCCGCACCCTAACCATCACGGCACCTCCCAGTCCCGATGCCAGTAAGATTTATCCTGCTGGACTATTTTACCCAGGTAGTTTATGCTCAGACAAGTGTTTCACATAATGAACTCACCTAATCAAGGAAGCAGAGGAAAGAAGAGTGAATATTCTTTGTAACAGTGGGGAACAAAAAAGGTCAGTTCTATCAGTAGGAACTTTCTTACCAATTGGATGTAAGCAATTTCTAGGGCTTGAGTTTTAGATATAAAAACCCTAAATTCATAATTAAAAATGAGTGAAATTAAGCCACACATAAAACTTAAACCATAACATTATGGTTTAAGTTATTTCTTTGCTAATGTGATTCATAATACTTGTTTCTCCAATCACATGGAAGAAGGGAACAGCACTGACAGGCAGATAGTTTCCATCCACATGCTAATACAAATTCACACGACCAGGAGATGGCAAGGAGGTTAAGGCACTGTATCCTACATAGCCAACTCTGCAGTCTGAGTCCTAGACCCTGCTGCTTGAAAATCACATTGAGCATGTGTGTGTACATGCCCAAAATCCAAAGAGGAGAATGGAGGAAAAGGGATTGCAGCATGGCTATTCCTGGGGGGTGATTTCTCACCACCGCTCCCCCCCCATTTCCCTTCCCCCACAAGTGCATGCACTCTGTAGCCACAAAATAAAAAAAAAAAAAAGGAAATCATATATCTTCAATACCAAAATTTTTGGATTAATTGCTATTATAAATATTGTAGTTACTGTTTTAACTTATCTATAGTAACTGAATATTCTAAATTTAATTTCTTAAATATTTTCCACTTGAAAAAAATGTATTTTCCAAATTGATAATACTTCCTGATTATCATCAATTAATGATTATTTTGGCATACTCAACATGTTATGTTCAGATTTGGCTAACATTTATTGATCATTTATAATGTGTAACATATAGTAAGATAGGTACTATTATCTACATTTTACAGGGGGGGGAAATGCTTGCCATTTTTAAGTCCAAAAATCAGGATTTGACCAGTTCTTCTGAAACCCAGCTCCAATGCATACTCTTAAGAACTCCTTTTACTGGGTCGGCAGGTGGCATGGTGATTAAGGCACCAGCCTCCCACTGTTTCTCTCTCTCTAGTTAAAGTAGAGGATGGCCACACCACAATCCCTTCTCTTCCATTCTCCTCTCGGGATCTTGGGCATGCACGCACACATACCTGGCATGAGTTTAAGCAACTGGGTCCAGGACTCAAACTGCAGTCGATTACATGGGAGTCCAGCAACATAGCCATTACACTAACTGCTGATCACGGAGAAGGAGGTATTTTTAAGGTCTTCTCACAATTCTCCTGCCTCAGCCTCCTAATAAGCCAGGACAATAGGAATACACCACCATGCCCAACTCCAGGAGCCAAACCCAGGCCTTCCATGTGGCCTTAGCCATCATGCAGTGGTACCCACCTGCTGGCACCACCACAGTGGGGTCTTGTTCAGCAGCCCTCATGATGAATTACTTAACTACTACTGCTAATTTAGGTCAGCATTTTTTCTTTAAGTTATGAAACAACCTTAATTCCATCAGTAACACTTCTTGTTTGAAAATATATTTCAGAAAAACATCATTAACCAAATTTTAAAATAATTCCTTTCTATGCCATAAAAATTATGCCAACCCTTTTGGACTTAGACTGTATAGTGCAAAATTCAACACTAATATAAGTAATTTCACTATTTATGAATACTAACCATAACCTAACAGAACTGCATTTATTATTTGTACAGAACATTTTTATACTTAAAACACTTTAACTATCTATTATTTATAATTCACTCTGAATAACTTCTCTGTAAAGTAGGCAAAAACATTGTAACCTTTTTTTAAATTTTTTTTTTTTTTAGTTTTTGCTATAGGGTGCATGTGCTGGCTAGAGACAGAGAAAGAAAAGGAAAAATGGTAATTTTTTAAAAAGGTAAATCCTGATGTTTATTTTTTAAAAATACTTATTTATTTAATTCTATTTGTTATCATTATTATTTTTTTTTTATTTTTACTAGAGAGAGAGAAAGAGAAAGCGAGAAAGCAAGCTGCCAGTTCTGGGACTCGAACCAAGTTTGGCCATGTGGGAATCCAGCAACTTTTACCACCACGCCAACTGCTGGCCCCAGGAAAATGATAAATTATAACCTGTCCCCAGCCCTCAGGGGAGATGGCCACACTGCAATCCCTGCCCCTTCATTCTCCTCTAGGGATTTTGGGCACACACACACACCTGGTATACTTTTCAAGTAATCAAGTCTGGGACTGAAACCACATAGTCAGCCATGTGGGATCCAGTGCTGGCCCATAATCTTCATTTTGAAGATGGATAAACAAAAGTTAAACTCATTCAATTATACATTCTCGAAAACACTGTTAAGAACTTGCTCTTAAATACACAAGACTTGTGCAGCCTCACCGGATTTTCCACTGCGGCATTCTGGACCATCTGATGCAGGTGCTGAAACCAATCGGTGTCCACAGCTTATAAAAATAAAAGAAATATACACTTGAGAAATAATTGTTTTTATCTAGATGTAGCTAGAAACTGTTTAATTTTTAACCAAGATCTCAACTGCAAAACATCCCACTATTCTAATTTCTCTATAAATTTAGAAGACTTTCTCCTAAAAATCATCTTTGTGTCCTTAAATGACAGAACATATTTTTGAAAGTCAGCATTAGAGTCTGTGGCAAACTCTTACTACTATCAAAGCAGAAATGAGATTAAACACTGTACGAGCTGATTATGAATAGGCACTGAAGCAATGTATAGTAAAATAATTCTCTCTGTATTTCCTGATACATTATGATGAGTAGAATAGCATTACATTTCAATTAAGATGGAGGTAAATTAATTAGGAACAATTTAATAATAGCACTGAAATGAGAAAAACTTTATTTACAATAAACATTACTAGGTTAAAAAAAAAAGAAGAGGACATAGTCAATCTATCATCTAGTTAGGGAATTAGAAAACTGGTAATACCTTATATTAAAATAGCCTGTGTTTTGAAACAGACATCATAAATATTTGGGAAACTTACTTGTTACACAGATTGCTATCAGAATTTCTAGGCTGTTGACAGAAATCTGGAGAAATGAGTGCCTTGCCCAGGGGTCTGTGTAGGTCAGTAAGAAAATCAGAAGTATCAGGGAACCCAGTGGGTGAGCGATTAGTTAGAGATCCAGCAGACACCGATCCAGGGCTGAGAGAATTTACAGGACTCAGGCTGGGTAAAACACCTTAAAAAATCAAAAGGGAGAAAAGAGATAAATTTCTCCAGGAGGCTTTCAAGACATTCCAGACTTGTTCTTTGCTAGCCTTTTCCTTTTTTTTTTTTTTTTCCTTGGAAATTCTTGATTTTAAGCTTGGCTTCCCATGAGCCAACCTTGGGCTAGTGCTACCTTTAGGTTAGCCAAAGATCAATCGTCTTGCCTAAGTATCTCCTATGCTTTCTCAGCGGAGTGTATATGGAAAGACACATCTTTCACTTCAGGCAGTTTACAAGACAGCAGTGGCTTTCACTTCTGCTGGTGCAGTGCCTACGTCAGCTAGAGGTGAGTAGCAAGGGCTTTTCCTTTCCTGGACCTTTTATGGGTTTGAGAACTGCCTTGTAATGTAAACAGCCTGTTAGATCCCCAAGAATATATCAGTGCTTTCCAAAGTTCCCGATGGTTATCTAGTATCTAAGATGTCCTTTAAATTCCCAGTCAAGCCTTGTTTTCCCCAATTGAAATTACTGCCATAGGTGATCAGAATGATAGCTGGTCGGTCACACTGTGGCTAGCAGACTGCTATTATTTCGGTAATGTCTGGGGGTGGGGCTTCTTTGTGGCTTTTGTTTTTGTTTTTGTGAGCTGAGCTCTGAGACAAATGAAATAGCCACAATATCCTGAAAATAGATTATTTTTTTTCCCCACGGAGCTGTACATTTGGACAAAATATTTACTGTGTTCTAGGGATGATTTTTTTTTTCTTTGTTTTGGAGAGATTTTCGCTATAGGGCGCATGCGCTCGCCAGACAGAGAGACATAGAGACAGAAAGCGAGAAATCACCCCCCAGGGGGGATGGTCACGCCGCAATCCCTTCTCCTCCATTCTCCTCTCAGGATCTTGGGCACACACACGCGCCTGGCCTGAGTTTTAAGCCACCGGGTCCGGGACGCGAACCACGGTCGACTACGTGGGAGTCCAGCGACATAGCCATTATGCCAAGTGCTGGTTCCCCTAGGGATGATGTTTTTAATGGAGCTCCAAGAAAGAGAAGTTAGACCTATCAATGGCTGCAAAGTTGTTGTCTTTGGTTATAGTACCAGCTGAGCTGGGGAGAGAAGGAAGATGGAAATAGGCACAAATTAAAATGTCATAGAATCCACTGTCTTACATGACAGTTCAGTAGTTCAGTTGTGTAGGTGACTTCTACTTGGTTTTCTGACTTTTGTTAATTTCCGGAGTTTTGAAATGGTTGATTTTATTTCTTTTACCCCTATTTTTGTTGTGTTAGTGGAAGAGTGAGACTCTCCTTTTGACATTCTGGAAATTGATCTGTCTTCATTTATGACCTTTTTAAAAGAATTATTTATTTATTTAATTCCATTTCTTCTTATTATTATTTTTTAAATTTGGCCAGAGAGAGAGAGAAAGGGAAAGGGAGAAAGCAAGCTGCCAGGTCTGGGACTGGAACCACAGTCAGCCATGTGGGAATCCGGCACCTTTAACCACAATGTCACCTGCTGTTCCTTTACATATGATTTTTAAAAAGCCTTTGAAACTCAGTGAGACTTGCATTATAGTCAATCAAATGGTCTATTATGATAAATCTTGTGTATATGATTGGAAAAAATAAGTATCCTGTAATGGCTGAATATGTTTTATGGTCAGCAAAGGCAAGGCAGTAACTCACTGTGCAAATCTTCCATGTATCTGCACTACTTTTAGCCTGCTTATTTTACTAGTTAGTGACAGTGATGAGTTAAAATTTCCAAATACGCATATAAATTTGCCTGTTTTCCCTTAATTTTTTTTTTCCTTTGCTACAGGATATATGCACTTGCCAGAGAGGGAGAGGGAAAGTGAGAAAACATTCTCCAGTGGTGATGGCCACGCTGCAATCCCTTCTCCATTTCTTCTAGGGATTTGGGGTATGCACGTGTAGCTGGTGTGATTCTCAAGCTGCTAGACCTAGTATTTGAACCACACAGCCAGCCATGTGGGATCCAACACCTTAACCTCCACGCCACTTCTGGCCCTAGTTCTGTCCATTTTTACTTCATATACTTTACAGCTATGAGAGAGCAATCTGGTCATTTTATTTAGCGTATCCCTTACTTTAAATTCTGTCTGATAATCTCTGTCTTTTAATTGGAATGTATAGTCCAACTTATGCTGAAAACAGGATATTTTAGATAACATACTCTACCAACTCCAGTAAGATCATTCTGTCTTCTCGAAGTATATATCTAATGTGATATTAAATTCACTATCTTCCTGTTTGTTTTTTCTATTTTTTCTTTCTGTTTTTATTTTCCTTTTCTGTGATTCTTTCAGATTACTCAAGTTTTTTTTTTTAAAAAAAAAAATGCCATATTAACTTTTTAGTTATAACTTTTCTATTATTCTTTTAATTCCCCCTGAATATCACAACATACTTCTTTACAGCATGAATTAGAACTTTTCACCTCCTTTCAATCTTTGCTAGTACCTTTCAACAAGATTAAATCCATTTACCCCTTTCACTCCCTTCATGCCAATTTGATTCATATATCTGACTTTATGTATAAATGCCATAAAAAGTTATTATTGCTGTTTCACTTATCAGTATTTTCTTGTACTCAGTCACCTATTAGGGTTTATGAGTGCTTTTCATTGGTTCTTGCAGTTCTATGACTTAATCTGGGTCACTTTTCTCCTATCTAAGAAACTTTTTTGTTGAATCTTGGACTCACAGGTCTGCTATCAACAAATTCTTTCAGCTTTTGTTTGTCTGAAAAGGGCTTTCCTCCCCACCAGGTTATCTGATTCAGTAAAAAGATTTTTCCAGCTTTACTGAGGTATAATTGACAAATAAAAATTGTACATATTCAATGTGTACAATGAGGTGATTTATGTATATATTGTAAAATGGTTACTATAATCAAATTAATTAGGACCTCAATTGCCACAATTAGTTATTACTTACTATTTTGTGTGTGGGGAGGGTGGGAAGTGTCAGTGTCATGAGGATACTTTGAAAAAAATTTTATTTCACTTTAACTTTTCAAGGATATTTCAGTGGATAAAGAAATCTACAATGGCAATTTTTGTTCTTTCAACAATGGAATGCCATTCCATTGTCTTTGGCTTCCATAGTGACTATTGAAAAGTCATTGTCTATTATTGTTGCTCTGTGGAAAATACTCTTTTCTGGTTGCTTTTGAAAATTTTCTCTTTCTCTTTCTTCTTATAATTCAGAAGTTTGACTGATATGCCTAGCTGTGACTTTTATCTATATTTATCCTGTTCAGAGTTCACTGAGCTTTATGAATTTGTTGTTGCTTTCTTTCTTTAGTTTTGGGAAATTATCCTGCCCTGCCTCTGTCCTTTTCTTTTGGGACTTCATTCACACATATATTACAACTTAAAAAAAAAACATCATGATAAAACATGTGCACTTGAGAGAAAGTGAGAAGCACCTCCAGAAGGTCTAGTTACTTTATGATCCCATTCCTCTGGTCTTCCAGTCCACCAGGATCTTGGGCATACATGCACACATCTGATATTTTTTTCAAGTCATTAGGGCAGGGGATTCAAATAACAGTCAGCATGTGGTTTCCAGCTTCCACAGTTCAGCATGCTACCAGCTACACCACAGAGGAGGGCTGGAACTTTTGGATGTGTCCCCTATATCTTTTATAATGTCTGTTATGTTGCTTATGTATTTTATCCCTCTCCATGCTTCACTGTGGGTATTTTCTATTTTTTTCCTTCAAGTTTACTTTTATTTTCTGTTCTGTCCTATTTACTCTTAAACCTTCAACCATCTAATAAAATTCTAATTTAATCAAGGGAACTTCTCAGTCTGTTGTTTCTTTTCCATGTCCTAGCTCTCTGTTTCAGTATTTGTCCATTTTGCTTATCTTTCTGTTTCCTTTAAAACATCATCATATCTTAAAGACTATTAAATCCAACATCAATTACATATGTCGATCTCCTCATAGTATTTTTTTCTTTGATTACCAATAACATTTTCCAGCCTCTTCGCTTTTTATTTTAATCGTGTATAATTTTGTGATTGTTCATCTCATTGCATCTGCCTGATATTGGCCATTGTATTTTATAAGCAGAATGTCGGTATTGCTCTGTCATTACTCTATTCTGTTTGTAAAATACCTTTTACTCAAGATGTTTTAAAGCATTCTGTAATTTTTTTAATTAAAAGATTTAAAGAAAATTTCTATTAAAATGACTTTCCAGGATATAGTCAAGGTTTTTTCCTACGCTCACCTTGAAATTTTTTTCTCCACTATTTTACAAAAGAAATACACTTTTCCAGAAATTTTTCCCTTGTTCTATATCTGTAACTATTCAGGTTAGTAAAATTGTTCTATATTTTATCTTTGAATCTCTAGTACCCAATAAAGTACCTGGTACACAGTGGATGCTCAAAAAGTGTTTGGAGACCAGCAGGTGGTGTCGTGGTTAAGGTGCTAGACACTCCCACATGGCTGACCATGGTTCGAGTCCTGGATCTGGTGGCTTGCTTTCTCACTTTCTCTCTCTCTTGCTTGCTCTCATCAAATTAAAAATAAATGAATGAATAAAAAAAAGTTAAATAAATAATTTTTAAAGTGTTTATTGAATGAATAAGCTATATAGCAGTCAGCCCACTTTCTTAATCACGTTAACTTATCAAAATGATATTCAAAATTAGCTATGAAACGTGTAGTGAAAAGGATTACTCCACCATATACTTTGAGAATTCCCATATATAAATCATAAAGAATCATTACTTACTAGCTCTTCTTAGACCTACATGGTGAGCCAATGATACAGAAGATGACCTTTGCTTTGGTGTTGCCAGATTTGAACTAAAAGGACCATTTAGATGGCATCCTTGACTAAAAGGGAAAAATAGCAGTTAAGAATCTTAAAACAATGAAAATTTCCTTTGTTCTTCATTGTCTAAAACTCAATGAACAAATATTTGCTTACACATTCAGAGCTTAGACCTCTATATACTGCCTAAGGACTAAAGCAGGAGTTGCAGACTTCTGACTCTGCAGGCCATTACATCTCTATTGCAACTATTCACTCCCATCACTCCAGCACAAAAGTATCCATCAACAACAGTAAACAAATTGGTGTGACTGCGTTTAAAAAAGTTTTGTTTCCAAAAAAAGGTTACGGACCAGCTTAGGTCTACAGGCTGTAGTTTACTGAACCATGACCTGAAGCAGATTATCATTATTACCTAGAAGGTTTCTTAACATGAGTTGTTGGTCTGGACT